TTCTAATCAAGGGAACCACTTCTCCCCATGTGGCACGCAAACCCCTCAGACCCTGCTGCCTACTCCTGGGTATTCGCCCTATATGCTCACCAGAGCACCACCAGGCACTTGGCTCCAGAACTCCAGACCCTGTGCTCCACTGTTTATAGAATCCTGGTGGTATTGAAACCCTCTCCTTTCTTCCCGTTAATGGTTTTGGGTAACAGATTTCTTGTTCAGTCCCCTGTGTTTTCACTCTTCTCTCTTTCTTTCTAGCTACTTTCAAGGGAGTGCTTTTCCTGCTCTCTCCCTCTTTCTCTGTCCTCTCCACAAAAACAGCTCCCTACCCTCCGCTGCTTTTGTCTCCCTCAGTTCACCTCTCTGCACTGCGTACCGGCTGAGTTCTGTGGCTCACATTATGTAGACTGTTGTGTTAATCTTCAGATCAATTTCCTAGGTGTGCAAAATGGCTTAGTGCTAATCTAGATGCAGTTCAGGGACAAGACAAACTGAGGATCTCCATGCTGCTCTGCCATCTTCTACCACACAGTCCAAAAATAAAAATCTTAACAACTCAGGCACTAAGGTCCACCAGTACATTTTTCTCCTCAAGAATATCTGGACTACTCTGGGTACTTTTCAGTCTGTTTTCCAAAGCAAGAACTGTGGAGTTGAGAAGTGAGAAGGCTCTACGACAGCACATTTCCCAATTACCAGAAGCCTGATTGATATTTTAAGACTAAAACTTTTGTTTTAACTAACTTAACTAGAACTCTACTAGATATAGACTAATCATTAACTATGTCACTCCTGTAGAGTGCTGTACTATACAACAATGCAGTGATATGTTAGGAACTAATAAAGGACAGAAGGGAGTTCTTGGTTTCCCTTGCTTACTGGCCCCAGACCGATTTATTTAATTTCTGTATTTTTTGTCTTCCTCTCTTCTCACATCTAACTTGTTCTAATTTATTCTGAACATATAAGGATGTGCAAATGACCACATTTTCACAGTTCTTAATGAAACATTTGTGAATAGTTATTTTCCTTGCTTCTTACAAAATGTTTAGAGATTTTTAAAAGGTATTGTTATTACTATATCTTTTCACGGTTTTCTAGAAAGTTAAGGCCACTGAAAGTCTATCCTCCAGATAAACAGAGTATTATGGTATTAGGCCAAACTTACTAGCTTGAAGACTCTAAACAGAAGCTTTTCTCAGCCTAGTTTCTTATTTTGTAAAATGGGACAGTAATACCAACTGGCAGTGGTATTTTAAGGTTTACAGGTATGGGTACATAAAGAATCTCACAACATGTGTCGCATACGTCACGTTCTCAGACAACAGTGGGTATTTTGGAGTAAAAAATGGTTATACCTCAGGTCAAAAAATTCTTCCTGTCCCAGATTCAGTTTTTTCCCTTTTTCTATAAATCAGTTCATCAACTGAGTATAATAAGCTATCGTTTCATTTATTCATTCTTTAGTTACAATGAAACACATACGGTCTACCCTCATCTTGTTAATTCTCATAGCCCAAACTGCAATTTCCCCAACTCATATCTTATTTTACTCTTTTCGGCCACCTCTTTAAATAATTTGCTTTAGTCTGGCTCAACTTCCTCAATCTTAAGGATAATTGTTGGTTTCTGAACAAGTCTGTTTCAGTTGCTTTTTCCCATCTTACCATGCTTATCTGAACTGGTTCTCTCTGCTTCCTAATCAGTGTACTACTATTTGTTCCATGACTATTGTTGATTCTGCCCATTTGTCCTTTAAAATTTAGCCTTTGACTAGGGGGGAAAAGGTGGACCAGTCAGCTCCAATGAAAAAGATTATTAAGAATAAGATCAACAATAATTGGTAGTAAGATCATATCTCAATAAAAGGGAAAGGGAAAAAAGGACAACAAAACACAGATGGGTGAGAAACAGTGTAAAAATATACCTAAAAGGGTATGAAATACAGCAGGCAGTTTATCAAACGAGTTCCAGAAAGATAAAAAATAAACCAAGAGGAATGTTTTTCAAAAACATAACGATCAAGAAATTCCAAAATTAAAGATGCCTTTCAGACAGAAAAGCATCATGGAGTATAAAACAGAACATATGATAATAAAACAACACTGAGACACATTTTGAAATCTTAAAACCTCAAAGAAAAGAATATAAAACTACTTAGAGGAAAAAAAGGCAATACACCCACGTTAAAAAAAAAAAACCAATCAGGGTGATATCTGAGTGTCAAACAATAGGTGCAAGAAAATAGCAGAGCAATCATTTATTCAAATTTAGATTGTTTAAATTTCAAGTTGATAAAGGATATCTTCCAAAAATCTACATCACAATTAACAGAAAATTTAGTTGCATTCCCTTTGGAATCAAGAACAAGCCAAGGATGCTTGCAATTACTATTCTTACTCAATAAAGGAATAGAGGTAGAGGCCCCCACAGTAAGAGGAAAAAAGAAATAAAAGGTATGAGGACTGGTAAGGCCCTACAGATTGTGTCCCAATTATAAAAGTTGTAATGAAGAAAGAAATCCTGGTATTTACACTGCAACTTAGCATCACTTCTTGCTAATCAATTCATATGAAAACTGAGATGTTTCCACTGGAAAATATCTGAATTGCTTTGATAGGCTTCAAAAAGCAAGATAAATCTTACCAACTCCTGATTAGAAAGCCTAACACTGCTACGGTACAACATGTGACCACGCAGGAAAAAAATGCATGCGATTGCCAGTAAGCAAGCAGAAGAAAATGGTATTTTTATACATGCATCTCAAGTTTTAAGAACACAAATGGGCCTAATTACAGAGGATGGCTGGCATATTTTGATAGTCTTGGCTTTTATCACATTGTCACATTATAAATTTCACTGCGTTCTCTGCCATAAATTGTGTGATTTTCAATCACAATGCATGATGGACTTTAAAAAAAAAACAACAAAACAAAGAATGTCTAAGAAAAAAGGGAAAATAACAGCACTGTAAATATGGAGAAAAAACTATTCTTAAATTAGAATTTTAAATATATTGATGAGTTTTAAACTCAGATTATTTCTGCAATGGTTTAGAAATTATCATCCCATCCCTAAGCATTTTTTACGCTCCCTTGACCTATATCACATCGCTCTCACACACTCTTACACACACACACACACACACACACACACACACACACACACCCCATGACAGGCCCTTGCCTAAATCTGAATGGAGTCTTTGGTTCGAAATCCAGCTTTCTCCATCTCAAGCCACTATTTCTAAGCAACAGTAAATAGAAACAGAACCATAACTGTGAAACTACAGAACACTTCCTAATATCATAAGAAAATAAAGCTTTCATATCCAAACCACCTTCCTGTCTTTAACAAAGTAATCATCAGTTTAGTCTAAGAACTCCACAAATTAACTGAAACCTGGAGCTGTCTCTAAGACACTGATAAATTTAAAAACATTGGCAAACAGACCATAAAAATCTACTTTAAGAAATCAGCAAACTGTAATGTTTTTACTTAAGGTATCTTTCCCACAAGCCATAAATTCAACACATTGGAGCCTGTTAGCCAAAAAATAAGTTACATACACAAAATTTTAAAACATAAGATCATGTCATCAGAAAAAGAAACATATTTGAGTTCTCCAATTTTATTACAGATTTGGGTGATGGATTCCTAACCTGAACTACTCTTTCTACTAAATGATATCTAATTATATCAACCACAGAATGATTCCCATACTGTATGATTACCATTCCTTCTGATACGGCAAAATTTTTGAGTCTCCCCTGTGATTAGTCTGACTACAAAGTTAAGCTGCACCTAGTCTGGTGTTCCCTGGGGTGTAGATACATGTCTATATAAACTGGGTAGAATGTATGTAAACCATTTCTATGCCAATAGTTTCTCCCAAATTAATCATTCAAGGCTCAAATAAGGTTCTTACACAACAGCCAGAGGCTACCCACTGAAGGAAAGAAGTATTTAAGAAATAAGTTTTGGTATCCCAAAAGAATACAAAAACCTCTACCTTTAAGCAGGTAACTTAAAACTATTCTCCGACCTTCCTTGGTTTCTGATAAAGGATTTATTTGTATGAAGTTTTCTGATAGTTGTTCTTCAGTCTCACACTATAAATGGGAAGTTGTTGATACACATACATGTGCACACACATAAACCTCTCTTAACCATGAGCTAACAAAACAGGCATCGTGATGAGAATTTGAAGACAGCCACAACCATTAAACAGCAGTGACACAAGAACCGGAAGAATTCTCTATGACCTACCTTCCTCACAAAGTCTATCTTTTTTATTAGCTATGGGAGAATTTCGAAAACAACATGATACGGGAACAGACAGATCTATTTTATTCACCTGCTCTTTGGGGGTTAGTAACCATAACGTAGAAAACTGAGCAACTAACTTACTTATATAACAGCTTAATCTGGCGGTATGACTGCAGTTTAATAGATGTGCTTATTTTTATGGCCTAATATTTATGGTCACTGAAGGATTTACTCTGCCATAGAATACACATCAATGGGGGCGCCTGGGTGGCTTAGTCGGTTAAGCGTCCGACTTTCGCTTAGGTCAAGATCTCGTGGTTCGTGGGTTAGAGCCCCGCGTCGGGCTCTGTGCTGACTGCCAGCTCAGAGTCTGGAGCCTATTTCAGAGTCTGTATCTCCCTCTCTCTCTGACCCTCCCCTGCTCACGCTGTCTCTCTATCTCTCTCCTAGAAATAAATAAAAATTAAAAAAAAAATAAAATTAGAAAAAAAAAAAAAAAAAAAGAATACACATCAATGGAGAAGCCTGACAAATGAGGACTGATTTGTAGACAGATCCATGCAGACCCTCCAAACACAATTAGAACACATTTCCTCTGATTACAGAACTGTCAAAAAAAAAAATTCTTTGAAGGCAAAAAGGGACATTGTGAGGCTTTGAGACATCGGAAAACATAACATAAAAGTAAAACATAAAGTTAGAAGATATCCAAAACAGGAGCTACACACTCTAACCTTTTCACCCCAAATCAGCTCCTCCTTTTTCTTGCCACTCCAACATTGATGAAATGAAGAGTAATCGAAATTTACTCTGGAGACACACCAAGGGACTCCCAAAGGCCATGGAGGGAATTTCAACTAAAATTGAAAAGCCATACAGAGTTCTGCAAAGAAAAGCACACCACAAATCAAAGACAAAAAGTTAAGTAGCATCTACAGGTTTAAGCTAAGAAAAATAATGTGTGCCAATTTTACCATTACCAGAAAACGAAACTAGTAAATAGTCAAAGAAGAAAGCAACAAGTTCATTTCAACAAAAGCTACAAAGAACCACCAAAGGAATAACAAGCATTAATTTGACTTTTTTCCACCCATTGGTGGATTTAAGATTTCATTTTTGGCAGATTCTTAATCTTAAATTCAAGTTATTAATTTCATTTGTGCACAATATTGTCGGGCTTAGTATTGCTAAACAACTACAGTTGCATAAAACTAATGCATTAGTCCTTGAGAAACATTTGTGGGAAAGGGTTAAAAAGGAAACCTCCAAGCACACCCAACAAGGAACATCTGATTCCCATCTTTATTATGCTCTCTATCCCAACCCCAAACACTTAGGGTTTTCTGGGAAACAATTTGAACCCTAGGGGTAAAAAACACCAAACATCTCAATTCCCCATAACGATCTGCCAACAATATCTTAATCTGTAGCTGTCTTGAAGGCATGTCATAAGTTAGAATTAAATGCAATTTTTAAACTGTCCCGATGTTTAAGTTTTTGTTTAATATACGTTTTGTTTCTTCAAAACCGAACTTCCTTAGATCTCACAATTTAAAGTACCTTTGTTTGTTCTCCCACTTGTCACTTCCCATTAGGGTTCCCGAACAGCACATTAAGGGGACACTAAATGGGCCACGTGGTCAGTGGTAGCTGGAACCGGTTTAACTTCAATTCAAATTCAGTTACAGAGCACTTAAGAGGTGCACGGCATGGTTACCCGCACTACAGACAGTTTATTGAGACTGAAGCGTGCATGAACCTGAATGGGTTTTTGCTGCAAAGCCCTCCCCAAAGCTCACATTCCCGCAAAATCAGAGTGCACAAGAAGTAGAAACTAACCCAGGCAGCATCACCGGATAACAGAGGTTTTAAAAGTCCTCCCAAGGAACAGCCCAGGACTGGCGTCGGGGCAGCATCCTCATAAGGATTCGCAGCACCTAGAAGTCCCGCGCCTCGTCTAACCCCCAGGCCCTGGGATCCGGTGAACACGGAAACCTCGGGGAGACCCCCACACGACCACCTGTCAGAGCGAGAGGCTGCTTCCCACCCAGGACTCTCCAGCCCCTGCCCACAGGCGCCGCTCCCTCGGGGCGCCCGGAACCGAGACACAGCACATTCCGCACTCTGGCCACGAACGCCCTGGGTCGCGACCCCGCTGACCGACCGACCACGCCCAACCTTCGGCTGAGACGGAGTCCCGAGCGGGGTCAGCCGGCCCGCAGCGAACTCGGCTCTCGTCTCCCGCCGCTCCTTCTAAACCATCCTGCTCGGCTGTGTCGCCGCCTTCCGAGCCGGAAGCCTGCTACTTACCACCTGACCACCGCACCGAGTAACTCCCACTGCCTTGTTTAATGCCGCTGCCGTCGCCGCCGCCGCCGCCGCCGTCTTCGTCACCGTCACCGCCGCCGCCGCCGCCGCCATGTTTGTTGTGTCTCCAACTCTCTTCCCGCCCCACCGCCTGGTCGAAGTCTCGCGTGAGCAGGGCATAGGGCAAAGGCGGAGGGGGGGTATATGTCTCTCTTGAGGTTCCGTAGGCACCAGGGGGCGGGGCCAGGGAGGTGGGCTCGAGGCGGGGGCGGGGCCCTGGCCCCGCCTCCTAGCGCTGGCGCTCGGCCCCGCGGCGCTGAGGAACCGCTTCGCGGCTTTGGCACAGTCCCGGCTTCTGCAGCGCCCATGGCGGGAGCGGCGGTTCCGCTGCTGCGCGGAAACGCGCTGGTGAGTGCGCTGGTGGCGGGTGCCCTGGTCGACCGAGACAACCTTGGCCTCGGCGGCGGGGTCTGCTAAGGGGACCCGGGAGACCGCTCCACGTCGCGGGTCCCAGCCTCCTTCTCTCTCCCGGGTCGGTGAGGGCCGACCTCCCTTCAGTCCTGTGGGCGAGCCGGCCTCCGCTTCTGTCAGGAGGGCTGGGAGTGGCAGCTGGTGAAAAGGGGGCTGAGAGCTGTTCTAGAAGCTTCTTTGCGGGAGCAAGCGCCCTCCGCCGCGTCGGAGAGCCACGGCTCCCTGATGTCCCTTGCAAGCCGTTGGGAGTCCCGGAGCTTTAGGGGCCTTTTGCAGAGGTGTCACCTCTCCCGGTGCCAACCTGACCCAGTTTATTACATTTCACCTCCATCCCCCAAACGGTTGTTAAAACAGTCTCTTTCTCAGCGGTGCGATCCCCCGCCTTCCCTTCCGCAGCTCGTCTCCACAGTTAGGAAGGGACCTCAGAGTTGATCAGACTTACCGACCAGTTGGAGGATTCCCTCGGCCTCTTATCTCCTGTCCGGGGCCGGCTCGTCTCCCCTGGGTGAGCTCAGCACCGCTCAGGGGAGCCCGTTTCCGTCCCGCTGCCCCAACTTAGGCTGCAGCCTGCCTCCCAGTAAAATCCACCTGTTGTACCCGATTCTGCTGTCTGGACGGACACAAACTGTAGATTCTTTAAAAGAGACTATGTCCAGTTTTTCACATTACGTTAAATGTTTCCATTATTCAGCTTTTCGTCCTAGGGTAGGCTTTCCAGAACCCTCTCACACTTGCCGTCCTGTTTGTGAGAACACTTCATTAAGAACTTGACCTCTGCTTGGCTGTAGACCTTTGCATGTGCTCTAAGTAGTTAAAGCCTTTTTTGAAAAAAATTTTTTTAATGTTTTATTTATTTATTTATTTCTGAGAGAGAGAGCAAGAGCATGAGCAGGGGAGGGTCAGAGAGAGAGGGAGGCACAGAATCCGAAACAGGCTCCAGGCTCTGAGCTGTCAGCACAGAGCCCAACATGGGGCTTGAACCCACAAACTGTGAGATCATGACCTGAGCCGAAGTCGGACACTTAACTGACTGAGCCACCCAGGTGCCCCATTCAGCTGTGTTTTAGGCGCCGTGCCGGAGGCAGGACTCTCTGTGTAATTAGAGATAATTAATGTTTTTTGATTGTTTTACAGACTTGAGATATTAAGAAAATTACTAGAGTCATATTAATGTATTATTGCAAAGCAATTAAGTCTTTATGGAACTATTTAGTATTATTTTATCATTGTTGTTTAGTAGTTTAGGAAAGACAGTTCCCAGGGTTTTACAGTTTTGACTCGTTTTAGAGCCAGGCTAGTTTTAGACCACACACTGTATGGCAGGCACACATTCTTGGTGTTCTACTTGCATCATTTCATTTAATTCTTAAAACCATTCTCCAGAGTACTAGTTTAATCTTTTGGCTGCGGAGGCTAATGTTGTAAAAGATCAAGTGACTTGTTCAGAGTCACTCAGCCAGAAGGTAAGTGACAGAGCTGGTATTCAAATCCCAGTCTGATGGTACACTTAACCTTCGTGCTCTCCTGCCTTCCCTTTCTTATCTATGCCAGAGATCTCTTTTGTTGGGATTTGTTATTTATTGCGGCTCATCGTCCTTGTTAGTTTTTGAAACTCTTTTGCATTAATCAGCTACCGTAATTGATGGGATCATGACTGTAGCATAGTGATTGAGAATGTGGGTTTCGCAGCCTACTGCTTGGGTTTGAACACAGTCCTCTGTCACTTCCTAGCTGTGCTGGACAGGTTCTTTAGTCTCTGTGGACCTTAGATTCTGGATCTGTCACACGGGGAGAATAATAGCACCTATCCATTGGGGGATATGCCTGGCATAGAGTCAGCTGTCATTAAATGTTAGGTCTTATTGTCATGCATGAGGCATTGGGTAGGATGGCAGATACAATTAAGATCCTGAACACTTACCTTTGAGAAGTGTGTCTTTTAGGGGCGCCTGGGTTGCTCCATAGGTTAAGTGTCCAACTTCAGCTCAGGTCACAATCTCAGGGTTTGTGGGTTCCAGCTCCGTGTCAGACTCTGTGCTGACAGGTCAGAACCTGGAGCCTGCTTCCGATTCTGTCTGTCTGTCTCTCTCTCTCTCTCTCTCTCTCTGCTCCTCCCCCACTCGTGCTCTGTCTCTCAAAAATAAATGTTTAAAAAAAAGAAGTGTATCTTTTAGTGGGGAAGTTAGAACTATATCCAACTAATCTGATATGTAGATGTGGTACAGATTGTGAGGGCTCCACAGTCTGCCTGTGGGTTCAGAGGAAGGAGCAATGTACAGGACCATGAGGGGAGAGACAGCCTCTCTGGGAGTTGGGTTTAGATTTTAGGAGGAAAAGAGAATTGGGGAAGACACTGCCACAAAAGGGGACTGGGGTATTTTAAGGAATTTTGGAGTTTATCTTTTGGGTTGTTGAGAACCGTTGAAGGTTTTGAGCTTTGGAGGTACATAATCAGCTACAATCTAGTCATATTGCTGTCATAGCAAGTGGTACAGAGGGTAGAAAATTGCAGAGTAGGGCTGATTCTAGTCCCTGATATCAAAGACAAGTGGAAAACCAGAATTTAGTGAGAATTTTCTATACACCAGGGACAGCATCTTACATCCATCACCCTGTATGCTATTCCTATTAAGCAAGTGTCAGTGGCTTCATTTCACAGATGAGGAACCGCGGGTGGGGGGAGGTCGGGGGGGAGGGAGGCGAGGACAGTACTCAATGTGCTCTTGTCACATGATGCACAACAGTCAGGTTGCAGCTTGGGCACTCAGTCATGCCAGCCTTCCCTGAAGGGCTCTCTTAACCCTGCACATCCATCAGAACTAACCTGTCTGATTGTTGGGCAACCTGGTTTGTGGGGAATTGACCAGGTCCACCTGTAGTTCCAAAGCATTCTAGGCAACTTGATGTTTTTCAAGATATCACTTAAAAAAATGTTCTTGAGGTGATCCCTTGTTCAGTTAATCCTATAAATGTGTGCCACTTGCTAGAGGTGCTAACCTAGGTGTCAATCTTGTTCAGCTCTTTGCTCTTCAAGAAAGCTGGTGGCACTTCTTGTTGGACATCTCTGTGGCATCAGGGCAGTGAAAACTTAGTGGGTACCTAAGCAGAAGTTGTTCCTGTGCTATAAACACAGGCCCTGGAGTCAGAGCACTGGAGTTTGAATCCTGCCCCCCACCTCTTAGCTTGATGACCTTAAGAGAAGTTGCTGCCCCATCCTGTATGTCTGGTCCCTTTCCTGGAAAGTGGGGGGAACGGTAGCATTAAGAGAGATGTTAGATGTTATGTGCTTAGAACACCTCTTGGCACCTAGTAAATACTCAGTAAATGTTCCCTGTTAATACAGGCAGAACCCATTTCCAGTCACTCCGGGAAGATGTGGTAGGGTGTCCTAGCTGTGTGCAGAATACTCTGATCAGTCTTAGGGGTCTGTATGTTTACAACAGGGTCTTTGACCTCAAGGAAATTACATTTTTAATTGGAGAGACATGGAATATGTGTTAAGAAATGCAATCGGGACAGTAGAAGATTCTATTTATTGATTGCCAGTGTTAAATAAAGAGCATGGACAGATAGATGTGCTCATAGAAGGGAGGCTGGAACTGAGCATCAAAAGAAGGGATGGCTTAGGTTTAGGTAAACCAGCAGACAGGTGGAGATTATAGGCCAAGGAGATGTGTGAGCCAAGCCATCAGTGGAGGAATGTACTGTGCTTATTTCAGAAGTGCTTACTCTAGGGGTGCCTGGGTGGCTCAGTCGTTTGAGTGTCCAACTCTTGATTTCAGCTCAGGTCATGATCCCAGGGACATGGGATGGAGTCTCCTGTCTAGCTCCACATTGAGTATGGAGCTTGCTTGGGATTCCCTCCCTCTCTCCCTCAGCCCTTCTTCCCCACTTGCATGCATGCTCTCTCTCTAAAAAAGAAGGAGAAAGAAATACTTATTCTAGAATAGCTGATGCGGTAAGTTTGCAGTTTGATGGAATGAGTTTAAATGACAGATCCTATAATGGTAAATGGTTCTGTGTGTACAGTGAGTGTTGATCTAACAGTTACGCACAGTCCCAGAGAACAGCCTTTTTACCAAAATACAAACATTTATATTGTTATTACTCCTCACTCAAGAAACAACAGTGTTTTTGTTTTTGTTTTGCAAATACAAACAGGTCTTTCTTTCCCACACTTCTTTCTCTCCGGTGCCAAGAAGACTAAGTAATCTTAATCATTCTCTGGCAGCCATAAGATTCCCTCCTCTTTCTTTCAAGATCCTTTCAGATCAGCCTTACATTGCCTTGATTCCTTTTTTCCTGAGTGCTAGACCAAAAGTTCTCAATTTCTGCACTGTTGACATCTGAGGCCAGATCATTCTCTATTGTGGGAGGCTGGCCTGCACCTTGCAGGATGTTGAGCACCCCTGGCCCCTGTGACAATCAAGAATGTCTCCAGACGTTGCCAAATGTTCCCTGGAGGCAAAATTGTGCCCCTGTTGAGAACGCCTGGTATAAACTTGTGCTTCTGATATGCTCCCTTAGAGTGGGAAAATGTGGCTTTTCTCTTTATATATATAACTTGGCAGAAAACTCTGTCCTCCTACTATTTGCCACACCCAATTTGTTCACTATCGAAATTGACTTTTGAGATCCCTGGAGATTTCAACAGGAGCCATTAAGATTCCGAGCTGCTATTTGCCAAAGGGGTTTCACAAGATAAAATAGTAGCTTGCAGAAAGAACCCAAAAGCACAGGTACCACTCAGACCACTTCAAAAATTCACCTGTGGTGTAACAAGCCCTCACCTAAGGTGATACCACTTTTGGCTGGAAAGGTGGACACATTAATAAAGCAAGACTTGAAATGGAGGAATCAGACTCCACATTTCCTAAATGGAATAGCTGAATGAGGGGCAAAGATTCGGGGGGAGGGGGCATCTGGGGAAAAGCAGT